CTTTGAAATTTTAGTTTTTTTGTTTTTTTCTATTTCCATGTTCACTTCTAGAGTATATATCTATTCAACAAAAAATTGTCCTCCCTCTCTTTTGCATGCTTCTTCGAGCCCCACTGTGGTTTACAAAAACGAGGAACAATGTGAACGGTCTCGATGATGGTGTCAATCGTTATGACGCTACTGTGCTGACGACCGTTTACCTTCTCCCATTGCAACTTCTTACAACCTGTTGTGTGTTCCCTTTCGCTATCCACCTCTTTGTACCATTGCACAAAAGAACACTTGTGCATCGCCGCGACACCCCCTGTGCAAGTGTTCATGACAAAAAACCGATGCATACCACATGTTGTTATTCCTGCCTCTCACTGCAACATCGCAGTGCACGGCTCTCCCGTGGAACTGTGGTGAAGCTCTTGTCGTTTGAACGCCTGCGCCCCTGTGCGTCCCGTCGTGTGTGGCGGCGATAGTCAAGTGTGTTCGAGTGTGTATCACTTGGTCATCAGATGGAGGTTGACAGTCGTTCTCCGTCATGAACGTCGTGAGCGCAGCTCGAAAATTCTCTCTGCAGGGAAGCTCGTTAAGTATTCTCAACGCCGGGTTGCTTATACCCTCCACCTCCGGCAAATGCACACTGTCCATCTGGAACCACCGGAGTTGTAAAGTTGCTTTGTCGCGCACAGCGAGGGTATTAATTCCAGTGCCCATGCAGTCTGTCACGGATGATCAATTTTCTGCCGACCTCTTTCTTCGTTTCTCACAATCTTCATCTCATCCTGCAAAGCCAATGAGCGTCGGACATGATTCACCATATGGGAAGCGACCTTGCGCTTGTTCGATACCAGATATGGCTGTTTGCAAAACCTCTGATGATGATGCTCCCACACATCAGCCGCGAAGGTGTCAGGGACACCGGATCGCTCTATGCATGTTCTCAGATGCATAAGGTCGTGCAACTTCGAAATTTTCCAATCCGAGGTTTGATATTTTCCTATCTTCGTTTTTATACTCGTTATGAAATCACCTATCAATGCGTCACATACATCGAGAGAAGTCGCAGTGTGGGTCGACTTACGAAACATGTGTATGTACATTTCCATGAGTTTGATGAAACAAGCGCAAATGGATTTGTCTGTCGCACGTGGGATGATATCACAAATAATAAACACGCAAACTGTCATAACAGACCGATTTTGCTTCGCTTCAAAACGTCCTTCCCTTTAAAAGAAATCACAACCTGTGGCCACGGGCAACACGAGTTGCGGGTATGTCCTCACACATCTCTCACTGATGCTCTGCAACCTCGCATCCATCTCGTGCAATATCTCGGTTTGCGCGATATCCGACAACTTCTTATAAGCTGCTGCCTTGAATGCATCTATCATATGCAAGAAAATGTCGTGTTCAATGGTGTGCATACGGTCCGGTTGCAAGGCGAGATGGTAATCTAGTTGAGGATCGTCACCATTCAGACCCCTGTAGAATCCCCAAAGGTCGTTCTCTTGAACATGCTTATGCATGTTCAATTCTAACATTCGTGCCTCTGCGGCACAGCAAATATCATTGTCCCCATTGTTGAAGCAGTTCGCAGCAAGTTGCGTCTCTAGCGTCTACGACCTCCTGCAGTTGCTGAAATCGGCGATGACATCGAAATCGTCTTTGGACACTGTGCATGTTGGACAAACACTAAATTTCACAATTGCAAGGGCACACCTTTCGGGATAGTCCTCTATATAGTTCATGACGAAAGGGTGGACTGTTATCTCGCCGAACCGCTCCGTTGTAACTATCATGCCGTCATGGGATGCCTCCTTTGCGGACCGCAATACTGTTGACAACGCTTTATGCAATATCACAGCTTTCCGTTTTCTAAACGCGGTGGAGTGCAGACCCCAGCCCTTGTCACGTGGCCGATGTTGAAGCACAGGAAGATATGCAAGGAGTGTGGCGTCCGATGCGCAATCGGCTATTGACATCATCAGAGGATACGCTGACTGCTTTTGACGACCGTCTACATGAGTCTTGTCTGAATACAGAGACAGAGGGATGACATAACGTGTTTTACCATTCGTGTCCACACCCTTGTCCGCTCTGATAACAGTTTGGACATGGTGGCTCAACTGGCCCGTGCGAGAGACACATATGTTGATCCCCTCCCCGGGAGGTTCTATTTTGAGGCAAGAAACCGTTTCAACGTTGTGCAGTGCAGCACATACAAGGTCAGCGAACGTTGTGCGTCAGTCGCGGTACCACAAAATGGCGTGCGCTTCTTCTGGCCAATCATCACCGCGTAGATTGATCTCTTGCCACCCTGCAGCCTCAGCCTGGCAGCTTGCCCATGTCAGACACTTACGACTGTTACGAAATGCGATATCTCTTGGGTCGAATCTAGGATTCTTGAGGAGTGACAACAGACACTCAACGTCAGTTTGGGACATGCCCACACTGCCCCTGCATGAAAAAATCGGTGCCGCAAGTTTGCGGGAGCTGTCGAATGGCTCTGTGTGTTGTTGTTGTTGTTATTCGGATGCGCAGTCTGCTTCTACATCGGCAGGGGGCTCAACCTCCTCGCTTTCCCCACTGACCCGATTAATGGGAGCACTATTTGACGGTCCACCGATAACCCCCCCAACTATCTCTTGTGTCGTCCTCCTGTCTTCCACAACGGATGGACATGCCCGAGCTCGGTGTGAGTTCATCATCCGTAATGACATGAAAGGCCGCCCACAGTCACACACGTGACTCGCGAAGTGATGTCACTTAATACCTATCGCAGATGGGGCGTGCGCGTTCGGTGTGAAACTCATGAGTTCCTTTCACACTCCCCCCGCCCCCCTCCCCCCTCTCCCTCCCGTCGACTCAACACCGCTGATGTGCACTGGTGACAGGTTTCAAAACAACGACAACATTCCAAGCGGTATTAAAATCAAGAATTGTGGTGAATGTTTCACCCTTTTTTTTGTTTTTTTTTTTCTTCCAGTAATGCCACATTTTCTTTCACATTGTCACATCCTCGTTTCCTGACCGCGCACACACTACACACATACACACGTGGCAGGCACACACACACACACACACACACACACACACACACACACACACACACACACACACACAGAGCATTTATAAAAGAAAAACATTTATAAAAGTGCGGATTTGTTGAAACATTTACAAAAGAAAATCATTTATACCATAATAAGTGCGGATTTGTTGAAACATTTATAAAAGAAAAACGTTTTTCTGCTGTACCCTCGCAGAGAGAGAGAGAGAGAGAGAGAGAGAGAGAGAGAGAGAGAGAGAGTACACCCTTGTCGAGCACTAGAACACCTGAAATATTGCACGCACTCCGTGACCGCACAATGTAGAATTAATCATGATATGCATAGCCTGTGCATCGAACAGTTGCATTCAACGCTGTCCACTACCAATATCTGTATCACCGTTGTCCACCATGGTGTCTGGTGCGCAGTCAAGCCATGTGTGAGCACGAAGTATTTCCTCTCCTGTTGATAGTGTCGGGTGCAATGTAGCACCAGAACCGCTGGCTACAGCCGCGTGCAGGAGGCAACTAAGGTCCAGGCCCCACGTAAGTGATGTTGCGAGGGCAGCCTCTCTGTTGACCAAGACAAACCATGACTTCCCCATACGTGACCATCTTTTTTCGTTCGAGCATGATCTCATAATGGTCGTCAGTGCTGCATACTGGAGTGCGCCCTAAGGTGTTGCTTCCTTCAGCATGACACGCAACAGTAAATGGGGATTAGAGAATACACGTGCCAACCTTAGAATCGCATGTGCCCACTCTTTTGACGCTTGTCCTCCCCCTGCTTCCATATCCCAGTAGGCATCATATTTCTCACCCTCCTCGTCGCTGCTCACATCGCTGCCACTCACTTCCACCTCATCGTCAGGCGCCCTCGCATCTTTTTCATTGTTGATCAATCATGTTTCTTCGATCTCATGTTCGAAATCGATCGGTAAAGAAGAGTCTTCAAACCCTCGTTCCCGTTGTTGTTTTGTCATTGTCCACTCATTGAACACATCTTCTTCTTCTATCTCCTCCGTCGACATTGTGTTTATTGGAGAACGCACGATGGAGGTTGTTCTCACAATTTCTTCGCCTGCTGAAGCGTGTCCATCTGCTGCATGAAGTGCAACATCTGCTTCCCTGGCCACCAACTTCCATCCTTCTTCCCTTAACCTATTTCTGTCCACCTCAGAAGTCGCAATGCTGAGGCGATGCAAAGCTGCCATGAACATTTCATCCCACAATGGAGTGCCACATACGACATCATCGTCCACACTTCGCACCCTGTACGTAATGAGGTCCTTGCCCGCCAGTGCTTGCGCTGTCACATCATGCAATGCCTCATGTATGACATTCCGATCGTCAGGTTTCTTTTTCATGAAATCCACCAGTTGGTTGAGTAAAACATACTCCACCCCGTTTGCAATAATTACTGGAAGTTCTTGGAAGTCTTGCGGGGGAGCTTGCGGTATGTCCTTCAAACGCGAGAGTACTAAAATTTCTGTTGCACCACTCTTCATCTCGTCCTTAGAACCTTCAACAAGCATTCCCCATTTCTTCGCCTGTGTCATCAGCGTCTGCTTGAAATCGGTTGGCACGTATGTTCCACCCTTCTGCTGCTTTGTCATATCCACGTCGCCTTCATCGGACATCCCTTCTGTGCACATCCAACCAACCACTTTTCTCAAACTGTATGCACTGCTATCAGCAGTGTTATCTACACGCAAATCATGCGCCTCAGTGAACCGTGCCAATAGCATCCGTGATCTGAGCGACTCCTCTCCGTTCGCAGCGATGCTTGCACGAATGTTCACTCTGACATCGAAGTAACTCGGCACTCTCTCCGTGAGTAGTCGGAGCTCCCCGTCGTCATCGTAGTGGATGTCCTCCTCCGCGTATTGCATCACCTCTTTAATAGTTGTCCTCGCCTGTGCCGATGACATCGACATGATGGTTGTGCTTTTGTGTATGTGTCTGTAAGTAGAACGGCAAAACGATGATTTCAAGCTCCGTGAGGGTTTGTTTAATGTTGT